TTTAAGAGAGCACAGGCAAAAGTGAGGAGGGAGGTAAGAAAAGCACAAATAAATTACTGGAGAGAATTCTGTTATAGAATTGGGGAATAAATTGAAATTAATGAAGTTTGGAATATGATTAGGAAGATGGGAGGGATTCAGAGAAATAACAATATTCCAGTTTTAGTAAATAATGGAAAAATAGCAATAAAAGACAGTGACAAAGCAGAGATGTTAGTGGAAGCATTTGTAAAGGTGCACAGTAATGGTAATATTTCAGATAATATGAGGAGATATAGGGAACAGAAAGTTAGGGAGAATGCTCACATTTATGTAAAGAAGAATCCATCAGGAAGTATGTTAGACTCAGAATTAACTTTGTATGAGTTAAAGAGAGCGCTTGCAGGGGTCAAACATACTTCTCCAGGCATGGATGACATATGCTATGAGATGATAAAGCACTTATCAGAATTATCATTAAGTATGATTTTAAGACTTTTTAACAAAATATGGGAGACAGGGAATTTGCCAGAAGATTGGAAGCATGGGGTCATAGTGCCAATAGCCAAACCAGGAAAAGACACTTCTCAGCCAATTAATTATAGACCTATTGCGCTGACATCAAATTTATGCAAACTTATGGAACGGATGGTTATGAACAGGTTGACTTATGTGATTGAAAGTAGAAACATTTTTTCAGCATGTCAAAGTGGATTTAGAAAAGGGAGAAATACGATGGATTCAATATTGTGTTTGGAAGCTGAAATTCGAAAAGCTCAAATTAATAAAGAGGTGCTTGTGGGAGTCTTTTTTGATGTAGAAAAACCTTACGATATGTTGTGGAAAGAGGGGCTTTTAATGAAATTGGAGAGCTTGAGAATTGATGGAAAAATTTATAACTGGATTCTGAGTTTCTTGTTTGGAAGAACAATTCAAGTAAGAGTAGGGACTGCTTTTTCTCAGATTCTCCCAATTGAGAATGGAACTCCCCAGGGAAGTGTGAGCAGTCCTATTCTTTTTAATTTAATGATAAATGACATCTTTCATAACGTTGATACTGGAATAGGAAGATCATTGTATGCGGATGATGGAGCACTATGGAAAAGGGGGCGCAATGTTTTATTTGTAGAAAATAAAATGCAAAAAGCAGTGAATGAGGTGGAGAATTGGG